GATGTGTGTATACACGCTAAAGAGAGAGAGAGAGAGAGAGAGAGAGAGAGAGAGAGAGAGAGAGAGAGAGAGAGAGAGAGAGAGAGAGAGTACAGAGCCCTTTGACATTATTCAGACAACCCCTGCCGGTACTTCAAAAGGTCCCTGCCAAAAATTGGCAAGGGTCCCTTCGGCAGGAACTGGTTGGTCATTGGAAGGGTCGTCACTGGACTCGTAGTAAGGAGGGAGTAGGCCAGCTACATATAGTGTAGCTTCGATTTCAGGTCGGTGTTTCCGCAGTTATTGGTTATTGACTTACTAACTCGGCATGTGATTTTGAGGGCTTCACTCCACTACTCACCAAATGTGCAAAACTAGAATGAATCTTCTCCTAGAAACTGGAACCATACAAGCCATCCGTTTTTCTTTTCTGCAAGTGCTGATGAGTGGAGAGAGGCCCTTAGGGCCACTGGACGTAAGAAAAGCGAAAAAAAAAAAAAAAAGACAACCACTGGAGTGTTTGTGGTAAGTTCGTAACCCATAACTCTTGGAACACAGACGTGAATCTGAATCCGGGATATATTGCTGGCCTACTCGTGGTCTTCCAGCAGTCCAATGCACATCCTTCCAAAGGTTATGGCAACCCTGCTAATTGCTTGCAGGGTACTTTTTGGAAAGGAGAATCAAACCAATGAGCAGTACGACGAGGCCCCGAAATATTCTCTTTCTGTGTACTTACCCTTTTTAAGACGGAGGGACACTTATGGGTACGACGACCTACCGTTTCTGTTTTTTTTATTATTATTAATATTTATTTTTTTCTAAATGTGCCGCATCACGTGCGCACGCACGTGTGCGCATGTGCGCTGCGGGCCTGCGGCGCATGTGCGCAACTTGCGCGCACGTGATGCGCCGCAACTATGTTATTTAGTCTTAAGATGACTGATAAACTCTCGATCTGTTTATCAAAAGGAGTTACATTTGTGTACCCATTCAACCAGCAGGCAGGTACGCGTGTGAGACTCAAAAAACATGCAGATGTAAGGCCATGGCGCCATGGCTCCATTTTGCTGTTGGTGGCATTCCTGCAGCTCACACACATTAGTAGGCAATTTTTGATGTCAGGCCCAGGTAGCTGCCATGTTCTGTGACAGTCTGACTAGTGCAAAAAGCAACCTTGCAATCTGATGCTAAGGACAAATTAATAAATTTAAAATTATGTGTTTCATTCTTCTTACCCCAGGTCCAGGAAAGATGTCAAGTATATATGTTGCTGTCACTCCTGTGACATATGAAGAATGGGGCATGAATTCCGAACCCTGCCTTCTCAAGGGTTTTGTATGTTCCATGATACGGCGGCATCTATGCAAATCTTCCTGTTTTTTGTCGTAGTTTCATGCTACTAGAACTCCCTAAACGTCATAAGGGCCCCATCCATAGTTGCGGCGCACGAGTGCACAGCGGGGCCCATAGTTGCGGCGCACCAGTGCACAGTGCGGTGCGCTGTGCGCGGTGCACGCGCTGACGGAGGTGCACCCTGTGCATGATTAAAAAAGAAAAAAGAAAAAAAAGAAAAAGAAAAAAGAAAAAAAAGAAAAAAAAGAAAAAGAAAAGACAGGCCCCAACAGAGAGAGAGAGAGAGAGAGAGAGAGAGAGAGAGAGAGAGAGAACAAAGGGTCCCCTTCACGTCAATTCGAGGGCCCCATTAAGGGCCACTGTGTCAATGAGATGGATGGTCTCGTCATCATAGATGTCATGTGAGAAAGAGAGGGGGAAGACCACCAATATATGCTGTGGATTCGAGTTCAGGGCTGTAGCTCGGCAGTTATGGGTCACCAATTCAGCTAGACCCTGTTCGTGTCTCACGTGATTCTCAGGGCCTCCTTCCACCACTCACCAAATGTATATAATATTAGTAGAATGAATCTTCTGCTAAAATATGGAACCATACACCGCCATATGGTGCATTTGGTGAGTAGTGGAGCAGGCCCCACTGGACGTATTCGTAAGAAAACAAAAACAAAAAAACGAGAGAGCCGCGGGCATCTTCATCCTAACCCATAACTGCTGACATGCAGACCTGAACGCCAATCTTCAGCATATATTGGTGGTCGGCTGGCCCTGGAAAATGAAACTTGTGACATCTGCGAACCTTAGTGGGGCAGGTCGTTATTAGGCGACTATCCCTTCTTGCGAACTTACCCTCTACTGTGTGGGTTTTGCAGAAGGGAAGGGGAAGGACAGCTTCCATACCCTGCCTAAAAAAAAACTTGGAATGAGCCCTATTTTATGCTTCGCCATCTGAAATTTTTGGGGGAAGGGCCTGTGGAAATCGAAATTTCGGCAGCCCTTACCCAAAACAAAAATTCGGGTCTCGGGCGCGGCCGGTTTCCGAGCTCGCACGGTGAGCTCAACATTTTTGGCGAGTTGGGGGCCCTAAGAAATTACAAAACCCCTACCTTTTTTTTTTTTTTTTTTGGACCTAATTTTTCCAGTGCGGTGCGCAATTTGTGTGCAAATCCGCGCATCGAGGTGTGCCGCAACTGTGGCCCCATCACATGAACGGTGCAGATTTGCGCCAATCGCAATAAAAAAATGAAATAAGACTGGATCTGGGCTGTTCACGTGCACAGAGTGCCCAGATCACGGGTCAATCTGATTTTTTGGTGACTGGCCGCCAATCTGGGCCTTCCATTGCGTGAACGGCCAGATCACACGCTGATCTTATTTCCTGGTAATTGGCTGCTGATCTGTGCCTTCCATCAGACTAACCGCCCAGATTGCCGTCTGATCTGTGAAGGTGCTACCATGGCCATGTGACTCGGGAGGCCCAGATCGCCCGGGTACCTCCCGCATGAGAACGCCCTCCCAGAGCTTCCCGTGCGAACTCTTTTCCATGTCTACCAAGTGCCACCTCACAGCCCTTAATGTTGCCGCACTGAACCGTGCCACTACCACACCATCACCCTCCGCCATGCACATATCGTTGCACTGACAGCAATCCACAACCGCCCAGCGTCCCCCCCACACTCTTGTGCTTCTCTCTGTGTGTGTGTGTGTGTGTGTGTGTGTGTGTGTGTGTGTGTGTGTGTGTGTGTGTGTGTGTGCGTGAGAGAGAGAGAGAGAGAGAGAGAGAGAGAGAGAGAGAGTGTTTGCTTTTTTGCAGTGTTCATTTTTTGGACTCAATTTGTTTTTCGTTGTTCTTTTTCTTCTTCTTCCTCGATTCAAATGCTTAGATCCAAACCCAGAGGTAAAAATGAAATAATATATGCCAGTCACAAACTCTTAGTTGTTCTCAAACGAACCCAGAGAGAGTGACATGAGTGCAGTCCAAAACATGATAGCAGAGTGTGGGGTGGGAAAGTCATGTCCCCTCATGGCCACAAGTGAACTTCTGGTCGACAATCAGCTTGATTTCTTAAACAGAGAAACGGACGTCTTCTCTGCAGGGGGCGGTTAAATGTTCTACATACACTGCTGTCAAAGCCGCTGGGAGCAATCGTGAATGAGTTCAAAGCATCTGCAAATGTGCCTCTTTTGCATGTTGGCGATGTCAAGTACCATCTCGGGACACGGGGAGAGCTTGTTTTCGGCGGCAAGAAGGTTGGACTAATCTTCTTCCCCTATCTTCCTTTCCTTGTCCATCACTTTTCTCCTCACTTTGTCAGCAAGTGTGAGGGCCAGTGCAAATGATGGTGAGTCTAGTGACACAGGTTACTGCTTACCTACCTTCACAACCATGACGGTAAGCATATTTTGTCTTGAGAAAAGTTGAGATGATTAAACCCTGTGTGAGGTGATTACCTGGGTACCAAAGAGGAAGAAAATGCTAAAATAGATTTAATCTTTAAACTTTAAAGGTTACAACCAGTGCTGCAAACCCGGTAGGACGGGGGGCCCCTCCCCCAACCGGAACCCGACCGGTCCTACCGGCCGGTCGACTGGGCCGGTTCCCCCCTGGTTGGCCGTAGTGCATCATTTTTTTTTTTTTAAGCCCAGGGTGTTGTCGAGGCCAAGGACTAGACCCACGGTGATCGCTGGCAGCAGCAGTCGGTGGTTGTCCTTACAGGATAGGCCATCTTCCCTACCCTTCCCCACGTTACTACCGCCGCACCCCCTTTCCCTACTATCCTACCTCAGTGTGACCAGCACTCAGGACCATCACCCTACCAGTATCGAGGGCAACTTGGACCAGACAGCAGTGACAAGCACCAAGGGGCTGTAGCTCATCCAATCTTACCAGTTTCGTTTTGGGCCAGGAGGCCTCCATGCAGGCCGTGGAGGCGTGGAGGCCTCCTGGCCCCAAAAAAAAACAGACTGGGTCCGGTAGGCCCGCCAAAAAGGCTTGAAAAGGGTGGCCTATCTGGACCACTGATCTCGAGAGATCGGCAGCCCCGATAGGCCGCCCTTTTCAAAGTTTTTGGGTGGGAAGTACCATCCCTACCCTGCCACTAACACCCCCACCCCATTTTTCAAAGTTTTGGGCGAAAGGTCAACGTTTGCAGAAAGCCAGGTAAGTTGTTGTCAATGTCTGCTCAAGCCTGTGCTTGCTGAAACTCCAGGACTTACACCCTCACCATAA